GCAGACCATAGATATTCCAAACAGACAGCTACCATCACCCTAAGTCCATTACCGAGGGAGGAGAGGAGAAACTTAACCCTGAAAAAACAAATCTAGTCCTGAAATGAGATGGACTAGGGCACCTGGAGGGCTATACGCGAGAAGACGAAAGAGTGGACTGGGGTTGAAGGAAGACTGGACGCTGTCCTTAGTCCTGAACTTTGGCTGGCCATCCCACTTCAGGTTTAGGAGGTGAAAGCACTGAATGAAAAATCAAGCCCATCAGTTCCTCTTAGTCGTTGCAGAGAGGTCACCTGAGGTGCTTAAGGCAGATTGTGTTTGTATGTGTGTGTAAGGCATGTGTGTGTAAAACAACAAAATGAAACAGACAACATGACATCAAGTCCGACATTCATCTTGCACAACTACACCACAAGTTCTCAAAACAAAGGCTACTTACAGAACTTCCTCTCAAAATATCGAATTCCTGTCCCCACTTACCAGCAGATTTTAAAAAATCAAACAAACGCCCTCAAACCAAAAACCCTTTCAACTCTCACAGCTGGAAGGATTCAATTTTAACACAAATTCCTTAGTGTCATAGATGTTTCCATCCAAGCTATATTTGTATTTTTTTCCATTATCTGAAAGGTTGTAGTGTATATGTTTAAAGTGTGAGATCAAAATGGGGATGTTTCGAAATTTCTAAATCCACCAATCATCCCAACAAGCACTTAGTAAGCGCTTACTGTGTGTCAGGCAGGAATCAAGTGTTGAACAAAAGTATGAAGTAAACGAATCTCCTCTTTTTGTGAACGTGAGAGAATTCCAAGGTTTTAGGTAAAGTTAAGGGGACAGCGAGTGAGCAATTTGGATTCTCTCACAATGGCAACCGCAAATGAAATGAGCATTTATTTCACTCTACCGTCTGGGCTCATTGTTCGATTGTGTCGCTAATGATTTAATATGTGCAAAAGATCTCCTGATTGGTGAGAACGACCGCTTTAGCGAGCAGATCAGATGAAGTGCAGTATGAAGAAGAAGAGGGAGAAAACCAGAGCTTTGCTCACCGTATGTAAACTGCACATTTCTATTAACTGGCTGAAATTCAGGCTGCCTTTTGTGCGCTGTTTTTGGTGACATGTCTAGCGCCTGGAAAACAAACGATGTTCTTCGGTGTGACCTGGCTAAAAGAGCAATGCTAACTATTAATTAATGCCGACTGACCTTCCGATTAAGATTCGTTTGTGGATAAGGGTGTCTGGTAAGTTTAGGAGGGGGTGGAGGGCATTTCCCCTTGTGAATTGGGTAGCATTTATGTAAAAAGAAAAAAAAAAAACCTCGCCACTACTCCCTTTCGCTTATCAGAAAATATTTCCTCCTTTCCTTCCCGTGGAGTCTTCTGCTTCCCTTCGGGAATTTTCGGTGGCGTATTGGGGATTTTCGAGTTTTCTACTGTCCCTGTGAATTTCGAAGAGTCATTTTAAGGAAAGGGAGAAATAGGGTTCTTCTCAAGAGAGTTGTGGGAACCCTCGCTGCCACCAGCCATTTGAATGCACAAATAAAGAAACCCAGTCACCAGCACGTGCAAACCTTTTGCCCCCTGGGTTGCAACGTGAAAATGTTGGAGAGTAAAAGAGATTTTTCCATCCCAGTTGACCACCTAGTTGACCTCACGAAATTTTCTTCGCCTCTTTATGTAAAAAGAAAAAAACAACAAAGGAACTGAACAGGCTAGAGGGCATGAAGAGAAAAAAAAAAGAGAAAGGAGGAGGGAAAAGAAAACGTTAAAAGGGGGGGCTGAAATCCATAGTGGCTGTGTAGCCCCTTAGTAGCTGTGCCCAGGTGTTTTCACTCCCACCTCGGCAAGTGAAGGACAGTTAAGTCTTTGGATGCCTGGCGCCCTCTGGTGGAATGTACCTCATGAAAGGTTTCCTTATAAAGATGGGCATTTTTTCACCCATGCATTGTTATCGATGAATTAATTATTGGGTTCATTCAACTATTGTCAAAACAAAGATGGTATAAGAGGGCGTGAAAACAGGAAGAAATGCGGCTCAGCTGGAAAGGAGACTGATGTTCATTCTCAGTCAACTCTATCAACATCTGGACCCTGTGCCACTTCCTCGATTAGATGCTTACATGTTTCTGGAGAAGCATTCATACTTGCAAATAACCTTCATGATTTTAAAATATGGCCAAGTATTTGGCTGAACTTTCGTATCCCACTCCACCAGACTACAGTATTTAAAAAAGTGAGTGCAGCTAGGACGGGAAGAAAAAAGCTCGAGAGGTAGAGAAATTATCCTCCACCGTTTAAATTATGTATACATTCCTGTAGGTGGAAGTATCCAAGCTCCACTGAGGTGATCTTTTAGGGTTAGAATCAAAGGCACCAGGCTGTCCCTAGAAAAGGAAGTGGGAAATTGTAAATATCTTTGTTATTCAGGCGTTACTCCTACAGCTCTCCCAGACCCTTTCTCTCTATGAGAATTCAGGAAGAGCAAATGAAGATGAATTCTGGCGCATTTTTCTCACTCTTCAGTGTTTCCAAGTGTCAGGTCGGGAGGAGGAACGCCAAGGGACCTGGGAAAGGAGGGAAGTGAAAGCCATTTTCCCATCTCCTCGGAAATATATTAGAAAAGGGGAGGGGGAAATGGCTCAGCCGAATGTGATGGAGGAGTGAAAGCGTTTCTGCCCCCCAACTCTTATTCCCACCCACTAAGATTCCTTGCTCTTTCAGAAAATGGAGCGTGTTGAGTACGTACTAGATTACTCATTCCGGGTGCAACTTCGTGATCTGGATCGATAATGGAGGTATAAAGCCCATGCACCTGCAAATAAGTCACAGCATTCAGCCAGAGGAAAGACGGCTACAAAGCCTCGTGATTCTCCCACCAACGTCTTTCCCGCCTCCCCACTCCATCCACACACCCCCAAAAAAAGAGAGCACAAAGAGATGAGCCTTTAGCCTCTCTCTCTCTCTCTCTCTCTCTCTCTCTCTCTCTCTCTCTCTCTCTCTTTCTCTCTCCCCCCCCTCCCTCTCCTTCTCCTTCCCTCCTCCTTTCTCTCCCTCTTTCTCCTCCCCCCCTTGCCTCTCTCCTCTGCTCTCCTCCTCACCCTCCCTTGCCGAACCTAAGGAGACAGCTGAGAAGAAAGCAGCGACTGCATCTACTAGAGGTGACGGACAGCAAGGCTGTGATTCATGCCTGCGTAGGAGCGGAGCTGAGAAGAGCAGATCCGATCCGCCTGCCTTGCACAGAGCATCCAGTAGCGCTCCTGAACTGAGGAAGAGCTGAGAGCCGCCAGTCAGCGCCAGGTGCATTTTCAACACCTAAGTGCTTGCTTGGTATACTGGCGCTGTGCCACCCGGAGTTTATAAACGTCTGTCCTTTGCCAAGCTTCTGAAGTGCGCTATTTTCCCCTTCATCCTCCAGCTTTCCCAAGACTCGGAAGCCGTCAGCCAGCTCGCGCAGACTACCTCGGTCCGCAATTGTAAGTGACTAGCCAGACCCCAGCCGACCAGCTCCCTTTGTGAGCCGCACAGACCGCTTCCTTTCTGACCCCAAATAGTAGAGCCATGCCAATTCGGCAAGCTGGGAGAAAGAGGCTACTCCTCTGGAAGTACAAATGGGAGCGGACTGGGGGAGGGGGTCCCATCAATTTCTCTTTCCCCTTTTCCACTGTGCGACCAGCCGCGATGTGACCAAAGAACCTCGCCAAGAGTCACTGGAGCTGCTCAGAGCTACAATAACCTGTTACTTCCATTACAACTGCTAATCTGTCAGGCTTGCTCCCGGGGTTGGTATCGACGTATGTGGGATGTGTGTGTGTGTGTGTGTGTGTGTGTGTGTGTGTACACGCGCGTGCCAGCGCTTTAAGTAGAGGTGGAGCTGCAAGTATTTTATTTCAAAGGCTTAAGTCTGGTTGAATTTGCACCTTTCCTCTCTCCTAACGGTTCTGGACTCCCTCAAGTCTCTTTCAAGGGCTTCCCAAAGGCGCGAAGAGCAGGTTTCAAATTCCCCCGCCTCCCTAGTCTGGGGCACAACTTTGCTTCCCCAAAGGGCAAGGAAATATGGACGCGAGCGATCTGGAGATTAAATGAGAGGAACACAGAACAAGACTCCTTCGCCCTGGTCGGAGTACCAAGCTTCTCAGTCAGACCCAAAAGACGGGCTAGTCAGGGAAGAAGCCTTTGACCGGCTAATTTAGGAAGGGAGAGGGTGGTGGTGGAAGAATTGCCCTTTCTCTAGGGTGATTGTCTCTGTACCTCAGCAGAGTTTAGAAATGTCTCGGTTCGGAATATCTTGGGAAATCTGGTAGGATAGCTTGCCTCACGGCCAGTGCCCTATCCCTAGAGCAACGCGAATCTTATTGCCCTTTCCAGGGATTAGCCAGACGCAACAACAGAAACCAGACATCCTACCAGACGTGCCCGCCTCTCGTCTCCCCCACTCACCTACTCCCTCCCGCCGCGGAGTCCTCGCTTGGGTATTAGCTTTGAGTATTAGCTGCCTTTCGCCCTCCTCACAGCAGGGCTCCGGGGCATTGCGTTCTGACCTTTTAGGGACCCTGAGACTATAAGCTGCGCTTCCCCCATCCCTCACCCCCACCCCCGTTCTTCCTTCCTTGTCCTGACACATGATGTCCTCTGCCTTTCCTGGGCTCGTAGAATTGAGGCTCCGAGATGGAAGAGCCTGAAACTCGGACCATATTTTTGTTGCTTCCTCCTCTGCACGCTTGATTGACAGCAGCTCTGGTGCACGCCACTCGAGCACTTCATGAATATAACCAGGGCCCCTTCCTTTTTTCCCGTCTCCTCTGCCCCAGCGCAAGGGGGAGCCTCTTGACTCCCCACTGCCTTGTGCGGGTCCCCAAATCCCCTTTTCTCTTCCTCCTTACCTGGATATCCCAAACGTGTAACACCTTCTCTCTTCTTGCAGTCGGCTTCTTAACTAATCGTCGGCCTCCCACGGGAAAGACCCGAGACAGCAGACAGACCTGGGACTCTGGCAACAGAGCAAATGGCATCTTCGGCGCCTTCCTCCTCTTCCTCTTCCAACCCAGGGCCAGACTCCAATCCCACCAACCTGCGCCCTACCAGTAAGTCCAGTCAGAGCTTCTTCCTGAAACTCTTGGCAGGGGATGGAGATTTAGGGGGAGGGGGGAGGAGAACTGGAGATTAGAAAAAAAATCAAGCTATTAACCTAGTAACCCAAGGTCCCACCCAGATGCGGTTCTGGAGTCTAGAAGATCGGAACAAGTGGTTTGTTTTGTTGTGTGTGGTTTATTTTGACGTGAAAGAGATAGTGTCTGGGTCTAGGAAAAAAGGTGAGAAGAGCTGAGAGTCCCTAAGGAAAACCAAAAACATTTCTGTCTCTAGAATTCCTTGAGCCAGGAGCTGGCCTCCCTCCCCTTCCCCCAGCCGCCCTCCCCACCCCTCTAGCTCTTCGCTAGGAAGTCTATAATCAGCGGAAATTTGGGCTTTAATTGCAGCTTTTCGAAAACCCCGTGTCCCTAATTGCCCCGAATTTGCGTCGAGCTATTGAAGTGTGAGGGAAAAGCAAGGGATGGGAAAGGTGGAAAAAATCAGTTGTGGTTCTGCTTTGACAATTCAGACAATCAATTAGGGGTTAGTTTTTTTTTTCAATAGGAACGGAGGGTGTAATCATTATGAACGACTTAAATGAGGAGCCTGCAGGGGTGAGGGCGGGCAGAGAATGGTCTTTCTGGGGCAGATCCAGAGAACCCTGCCCTGTATTTCTCCTTGAGACTGACAGAAACCCGTCTGGAGGGTGTCTATTCTGGAAAAAGGAGGAGGATGGAAAACAAAATCCTAATGAAAGGGCAGCAATCCAACCAAAGGCAGATTGTTTCCAAACACATCCCGCCCCTATCCCTGTTCAAGGTTCACCTTAGCTCCTTCGCCCCGCCCCCGTCCCCCTTCAACCCCATTGTGGTTTAAAATAGAATTAATTTTCTTAGAGTCTGGAGGATACGTATAGCTACTTAAATGGCCCCAGCCCAGTTGTCCCTTTCCATCCTTCTCCCTCCTCTCCCCCCCCCCCAACTTGGTGTATAATTACCCTCACAACAAAGAAGATGTATCAGGAGACGAGCAGAGCCCACCCTGATGGAGACTGCCGTGCGGACAGGCTCATCTCTGCGCTCCAGCGCCACCGCTCTGGGCCGATGGATTCGGGGAGGCGGGGCGGGGAACTGGAGAAATGCAGGGAGATGGCTTTTTGTCTTTCTGTTAGCAGATTTATTTATTTTCACTCTTCATTACTATCTTCTCTGCTGTCAGGCCCAGTTTTCCCGCTTATAGTCTACTTATTCACGATAATGTCCGCCTTTCCCAGTTCATGCCCTCCTCTTCCCCCCGCCTTTTTTCCTCCTTCCATGCTCTCCTTTATTTCCTCAACCAGCTTCTTTCTTCTTCCTCCTATACCTGCCCTGGACACCTCCTACAATTCTTCGTTGCTTGTTGAGTTTGGCCTTAAGCCCTTGCAATTTTTGTTGTTGTTCGGTCGTACTAGTCCATATTTCCACAAACAGATTTTCTGAGCATTCAAAGCCAAGGCAAAAAAGAAGTGAAAACAGAGGGCCGGGTCCCTAAAGATTTCCAGTGAATTGGTAGAAACAGGCAGAGGTGTTTAGTTTTTTCCCTTGTTTGTTTTGCTTAGGGGCTGAGGCTGATCCCCCAACCCATGCCCTACACACCCACAGTTTCATCCTGGCACAGTCCAGACTGCCATTCCTTCTTCCAGGGGACACACAAAGTGATAACAGGAGCATAGCCTATCACTTTCACAAACCCAAGCCAGTATTCCACAGTTACCAACTGCCCTCTCCCTCTATCTCTAATTACCCAGCTTTCCCTGAAAGAGCCTTTTGTTTGTTTGTTTGTCCCTGGCAGGGACATAGCCGGAAAAATGTATTCCTTTTCTGTCCCTCAGCCCACCCCACCCCCACCAAACCCATTTTCTTCCACTACCACCCAAAGCCTACAGTGACCACAATTATTCCTTGATTCATTAGATCATTACTTTTAGGTCTTCAAAAGAAGTTCTTTCCATCTCCTTTCATTCTTGTCCTCCTTCCCTTAAATATCTTACTCCACTTGACCCTAGAGCAAAGCATTCCTCTCACCTCTGCTTGCTTGTCACTATAATGTGGTCTCTCTGAGTGTATATCAATAGTGAATACCCTGCTTCCTTCTTTCTCACCTTTTCCTTTGTCCTTTTGGGCCATCTGGCAATGATTATGGTCTCCATTGTCTCCAACAACATGCATACACAGTGGTTGAGGAACTAGGGATACATGAAAATGAAAGAAATTTGGAGACAAACTGGAGCTCCTAAAAAAAATGCCTACAAGGACTGGTTCCTCTAATTCCCCTTTTACATGAAAGTGGGCTGAGGCTGGGGTGGACACCAGCCAAGGTAAAGGAAACTTAAAACATTCCACAGCATGCTGACATCAGTGAGATTAAAGTGTCCCAATACTAAAACCCCCTGGAATGCCTTTTCTTCACTATCCCACCCTCTTCCCTCCACCATTTTCCATAGATTATACTCTGGAGCAAGCCCACAATGAAACCTGTCCCAGGAAAATGGGGGTGAGGATTGGAAGCAGGTGGGTTAATGAGAAAGAAGGTTGGAAAGTGGGAAAACGGGGAAAGGGATCTGAGGCACACTGTCTTTCTGACTCTGAAGTCCAGCTGAAGGACAGTCATGCAAGCCCTATCATCTAGTCAAATACTATTTTTCACTCAATTAATTCCTGAACTCTTCTGCGACCCCATTTCATGCCAGTTTATTTTAAGCTGCCACTGTGCTGGAGACCTGCCAGGAAATTATGAGATGTTTAGGTCCCAGATGCCTTTTTGTTCCTTTGCTGGACTGATGTGAAGGCCTTTTCACATCTGTTGGACTGAAACAAAGGGCTTCTAGGCTGCTCTGTTTTTCTCTACTTGCTCCCCCCAGCATTGTTTCTACCCCAGGATCAGTAGCCTACAGTTAAGTTTGCAAAGTTGATTCCTTTCTGAATTGTTTTTTTTTTTTAACCTTCATTTTATTTCCATGAGGTATTTCATGGAGACAGGTTTGGATGCTATCAAGGATTGTTGTTTCCGTCTGGAGTCACTCTGGGAAGGGGGGGGCAGGAAATGAATGGATGTTTTTAATGCTAAATTTTCTTCCAAAACCCAAAGAAAGAAACAGCTTCTGTCTCCTCCACTCTAATCATCCCACTTCCAGTCCTTTTTACCTCCCAGAATTGCCTCCTAAGTTTGTTTCCATACCCTAGTGAATGATTTTTATCTTTCTTTCTAGCTTATGACACCTGGTGCGGAGTGGCCCATGGATGCACCAGAAAACTTGGACTCAAGATATGCGGTAAGAGAAAAGATGTGCACCAGAGCTAGAGATGAGATGTGGTCAGGGAGAGAAAACCCTAAGCCATGGCCCCCAACCTTATTCTGTGGATATCGATTTATTTTTAATAAGGCTTTAGGTAGTAAGGGGAAGTCGGCTTTTTCGGGTCTTCTTTTCTCTCTTTAAAAACCTCCAACCCACCATCCAACTCATTGCTTAGGACCAGAAGCATTAGCTACACAGGACTTTAGGTTTAGAACTGGGACTCTCCCAGGCGGCGCTTTTCCGTGAGCCCTCTGCGCCTTCTGCTGGCCCAAGGGCGCCAATACAGCAAGGTCGAACCCGAGGGCTTCGCTCTCGTTCTGCCTATAGACTGTACTCCGCAGACGAAATCCGCCCCAAGGTACCAGCTTAGCCTATGTGCTCATGCAGAAAGACGGCTCCCGAGGCTCTTGGTTCTGGAGGCAACCAAACTGATCAAGAACCGTTTTCCCTGAACAGTATTTGACTGGGTTGGCAATAGGCAGGACATCGTTTCTAAGGCAATCAAAATGTTCAGCATGAGTCTTTTTGCCTAAAATTTCATGCTCTGCTCTTCTTTCGTCTTCTCTCGGGGTCCAAGGAGGAATAGATGATTTCCCACTACTCTGTGGCCAGAAGAGCTATCTGTGAAAGGGGAAGAGGTTAGGATGTGTGTCCTAGGAGATGGTAGAGAGAAAGGACGGGGAGCTAGGAAATCTCTGTTGGGGGAGTGGGGAGGGTTGAGGCTGCTAAAAGAGTGTGGTGCGTACAAAGCCTATTCGGTAAAGCTTTGCGGGGTTCTGTCTGCCTCTGAGATGGAAGGGGCTGTGGAATTATTAAACAGAGGAGGGAATTAGCAAATGGAAGCTTCCGAAAGGTGAGGGGATTGGTAGAGGTGAACAGGGACCGAGAGGATATTTGAAGAATCTTGTGGTAAGTACTTGAAATAAATGAAATCTGAAAGAACAATAAGAGATTTTGTTCGAAGGGAAGCCGATTAAGCAGCTCCAGCCGAGTAGCGAGAACAGCGATGTTTTTCTCTCTCTCTCTCTCTGCTGCGTTTCGCCGTCTAAAATTCTCAAACCTTATCGGACCAGAAAATACGGATCTCCCCAGGGCAAAGGGAGGAAAAAGATTAAGGAGAGACTTATTAAAGAGCAATTCGTCAGAGGGCTGGGTGGGTGAGATAGCAGCATTTGCCTGCTCTTTTCCCCGGCACCGCACGCACGAAATGGATTGCTAGGAAACAAATACCCAGACAATCGGATGGCCAAGTTACAGCTAGAGATCCATTTAGAGATAACAAGCTGCTTTGGCCTTTCTTTTTCGGATGTACAGCCCTTAAATGTTTAGAACCCATCCAGGGACAACCACCTAGAACATTCAGGTCTTCGTTCTGTAATTCCAAACCTTTTCGCTTCCTCGCTCCCTACTTCCAATGACCTAAATAATGAAGATGCTTGGGAAGGGGATAGATAAGTGTACACACACACACGCACACACACACACACACACACACACACACACACACACGTCAAATCAATTTAAAATACCAGTCCACTGGTGATGTTTAAGAATAGCAGCCTTGAGTTGAGCCTCTCCCCGACTCCACTCTCGCCCCACTGTTCCCTTATGCCTAGATTCGTAAAGATTCGAGATTAAAAAGGGAAGGTGGTCAGGGAGCCTACAATTTTTAATTCCTATCTTCATCTTAAACACCCCCCCCCACACACACACACACTCGGTTTGGGTGTTTGGAGGGTGGCGAATAGGGAGCGGTGGCAAAGGCTCGGAGGACAGGAAACGCAAAGAGCTAGTTGCTTTGTTCTATAAATAGCCCCCTCCCCCCAATCTGGGTTTAATGGGCCGTTACGCCTAGGGTCCCTTTGGCGACTGAAGCGCCCGGCTTCTCTGCTGTCATTTTAATGCAGCCCGGCAAGCAGAACTGATAGAGTAACGCACCGCCGCCCGCCAGCCCCGCGCGATGGCCCCCGCCCGCGAAGTAAGGAAAATGGGGGTGGCTAAGACCCAGTGGACACAGGGAATAACCGGAGGTGGGGGTAGAGAGAAAGACAAACCCACTTTCACTAGCAAAGCACTTTGTGAGCCTTAAAGCTCCAAATATATGTGAATTATTATCAAATCAATGTCCAAAGGGTTGTTTTTTTCCCTCCTCAGAGGGTCAGATTCGCTATGTGGTTAGAGGAGAGCAGGAGGAAAGCAAACGGAATTAGACTTCAGCTCATTCCCTTTAGCCGGGTCACTGACTGCACAGTATTCACTTCTGCCCAGCTTTCAGGAGAGCCTGTGACCCTCCAGACAGATTCACCAGGGCCAGCCCAGCATGGTGGAAAGTGATATAGCTTAAAGCGATTTCTTTAAAAGAAAGAAAACAACAACAACCCTGGGGTACAGCATTATCTGCAGTAATAGAAACCTGATGGGGACTGAGCCTGCTTGGGTAGTGTGTCTAGGAGAAACACTGGTCATTCTCCGGTCCCTGCTTAGCTGCTGGGGAGGAGGGCGATGCTCCGAGCACGCAGGACAAGTGCACTTTGGAGAACACAGGAGCCCATTATTGCAATTAAGTCCGCCCTCCCTTCTCTGTGGGCGGTCAAGGTCTGTAGAGGATGAGTCCCGCTGAAGCGTGCTGCTTAGAGATCCTTGTCCTGGGGATTCATTTGATTCCCTATCTCTCACTTTACAGAAGCATTGACCCCTCCTAAATCTCTGTAATTCAGAGATAGCACAAAAGAGCAGAGAAGAGTTACAAAGGAGCCCGGCACTGGTGTGTGTGTGTGTGTGTGTGTGTGTGTGTGTGTGTGTGTGTGTGTGTGTGTGCGTGCACCCGCCGCGCTTGTGTAAGCGTGTGCCTCGAGTACGCGAGGGGAGCCAGACAGTGTATATGTAAAAGGAAAATTACCTTTTGAAAATAGCCGCTGAATTTAAGATCGTTAGTTGGAATAGAGAGAGAGAAGAAGAGAGACAATTGATATTAAGCTAATCTGATAGCAAAGACTGGTATTCGTGTTTCAAATAATTTTTCAGATTTTGTATTTCGTTTATCAGATTGGGGAAGGGGGAGGTGGGGAATTCGGATAGAACACTTCCCTTTAAAGATTTTAGGGATGACGTGGAGTTCCCACGGAAGTAGCCTTGGTTTCCGGGATAGCTTGGAGGCAAGGAGATTGGGATTAAAATTCCATTCCTGACAATTTAATAGTAGTGTGGCTCTGAGCAAGTCAATGAGCCTCTATGCTCCTCTGACAACTCCCTAGGACTTACCGACTTAGAAACTAAGTAGAACTTACCTACTTAGAAACTAGAAGCATTTGCCATCTGCATTAGTGCAGACAACTCCCACACAATTATGATGATGAAATTTCAGATCTGCAGATAATTAGACATTTAAATCCAAGGAGGGTACAGGTGCTTCCAACATTCACTCATTCCACAAATATTTGCGAATATTTGCTTACTTCTGCCCTCTTCTTCTACAGGATCATAGATTTAGAGCTGATCCAAACCCCTTACTTTACAGATGAAGAAACTGAGGCCCAGGGAGTTTATGTGACTTGCCCAAGGTCACAAAGGTAGTAAGTAGCAGAGTTCAGATTTAAACCCAGATTCTCTGGGTTCAAAGCCAGTACTCTTTCCCCAGTACAGCACTGCTTCTCTAGTGTTTGCCTTCAAGATTGTTTCAGTCCACCCCTTTGCCAGCCAAATACCCTCTAAAGCAACCCATTTTCTCTCCCTTACCTGAAGCTGAGGAGAGGTTTTTTACTGGCCCAGCCCTCTCCCTCATTCAGGAACTTTGTCTTCCTGACTTAGGAGTCTATCTCACCTCCTCAGGTCATTCTGGCCAGGACTCCATCCTTAACTGCCCTCTTCCCCAGAGTCACCTCGTGGGTATCCAGTTGTTCTAGCCCAAGCTGGACACAGGACTGAATTTGGGAAATTATTCTTATGGAGCATTGGAAATAGGCTTCAAGAGGAAGGATTGGGTGGCTAGCTTTCACATCTTCTGCTAACTCTACTCTCAAGAAGAGGTGTCTTCACCTGGCCCCAAACTCCTCTTCCTTCCTCTATGTCGCCCCTTAATTCCCTCAAAGCTTCCAGGGGATTCATCTCTAGTACTCTGCTGTGTCACTCTCTTCCACTGCCATACCCATCAGTTATGGGTTTAGTCCTAGGGAGATTAGACATCCAGTCTGCTCAGATAGTAAGCCTCTGGGCAGGGATGCAAATGCAAAAAAGGAGCCCACCATGTACATAGCATACACCCCAAACTGTATTCTTAAAATGTGTGCAGCAATGTATTACAAAGGAAAGAGCATTGGACTAAGAGTCAGGAAACTTGGGTTGAAATCCCTGTTCTGTTACCTCCTAGTTTTGTAATGTTGGATGCCACTTAACCTTTATGGGCTTCATTTCCTCATATGTAAAATGAGGGGAAGGGGAAGAATGTAACCTTTAAGTCCCATTCTAACTAAATCTATGACTCAAAATGACTAAATACCTTGATAGCAGTCATAGTATGCAAATAGGAAAAAAACAAACTAACTTATTGTTTTACATAAGGCTACCTAGAACTGTGAAAAAGTGGGCTCAGTACCATAATCCCACAAGGGAATGAAATTCATAGGTCTCTTGTTCACCTCTCCCTTTTCCTCCCCCACCCCTGCCTCTGGAACCCCTGGGAGCAAAGCTATCGAAATGAGATAGATTCAGGGTGGTGATGGTGGTATTTCTGGAATCCAAATATTGCAGTTAGGTTCCTTGAATTACCAGAAGGTGGCAAGGGCAATAAAGCATGACTGCTGAAAGCCAAACTGAGCTTCTCTTTTGTCCCCAGTTCCCTCACCCTTTCCCCCAAGGTGGGGGTGTTCAGGACCTTGCCTTCCACCTCTCAGCTTCCCAGAGAGAGAAGGTCATCAAGACAACTTCATGACCTATGTAGGCAACCCTATGACCCATCTACTACCCATTCACATCTGGGGAAAATGTCAGATCCTTTAAGATGCTGGTAAAACTGGGTTCAGTCAACTGCCTCAGGTTTCCAGGATAAATGAATTAGTCAGAGGAGAGAAGAATGGGGGATTAATACCTGGTAAAGGAATGAGCCAATGAAGATTCATACATTACTATGCCCCACCTATCAAGTCTTCCATATGGAGGCATCTTCTAAAGATTTACTCTGTGTAGCTCCAGAGTGCAGAATTCGAACTAATGTATCATATCGAAGACACAGTGAGACAAATTTCAGCTCAATGGGTTCAGGACAAGATGAATCCAAAGCAATGACCAGGGACCATGTAATGTGGGGATTAAAGCTCTTAATGGAGGTGTGTCTCCAGTCTCTGTCCCCTATCCTCTTCTGGTCCTTATCACAATTGTGCTTGAGTCCTGGGAAAGTAAACCTTGATTCCACTGAAGGACTATTCCTCCTGGAGCCTTTTAAGTCTTTTTTTTTCTGGCAATTATGTTTCCCAAAGAAACTTAAAATGTTGATAAGAAGAATAACTTACATTGATTCAGCACTTTTTATTTCCAGGACACTCTGGTTTCAAGCCACTTTACATGTATTTCCTTATTTAATACTCAAAACAATTCTGCAAAGCAAATAGCAGAAGGCTTTAGAGTGGAGGGGCCACACAGTGTAGTGAGTAGAGAGTTAACCTCAGTGCAAGAAAGACCTGGGTTTGAGTCCCAATTATGACCTTTGGCAAGTCATTTAAACCCTCAGTGCTCCAGGGAACTTGTTAAAACTCTTTAAGTTGAAGAGAAGATGCTGATCTGTTTTGGTAGATGAAGTTCCCTCCCTGATGAAATCACATGTACCCAGTTCCTTTCTCAATTGTTATTACCATTTTCTGTATGAGGATGCTGAGGCCCAGGATTTGGTGTCAGAGGAATTAGATCCAAATCCTAGCTTTGCTACTTACTATGTGTGTGATACTGGGTAAGTCACTTATCGTTTCAGGGCTTCAAGTTCCTGATGTATAAAATTAGGGGCTTGGGGCAGCTAGGTGGAGCAGTGAATAGAGCACCATCCCTGGAGTTAGGAGGACCTGAGTTTAAATATGACCTCAGACACGTACTACTCTAGGCAAGTCACTTAACCCCAATTGCCTTGCCAAAAAAAAAGCCTAAAATTAGGGGCTTAAACTAGATGATCTTGAAGGCTCTTTCTAGAGCATTTGATCCTATAGCTTGCTAACAGTCATATTGCTAATAAGTGGCAGAGTTCATACTTAATCCCAGGACCTCTTACTCAAATTGTAGTGTTCTAAATAACAGGAAAATTAGAACTCTTTATTTTTACATACATCATAGTAAGGACTTGAGAAGGAAATCCTGAGGGGCTTAGAGAATTTTGAAGGTAAGGAGATCACCAGTGGATTGTGGGATAGAAGGTATCTGTGAAAAGTAATGCCGTCTGACTTAAGTGGTCCTTAGACCCATCTGCTATAGCTCTGTTAGCTTCTTGAAGGGGCTCTTATTCCTGAAATCAACTGTATTAAAGCCACCCCTATGGAGAAAGTGTTATTCCCTCTAAGCACTATCACCCCAGCTGCAGAAGATGTATGTCTTCATTTGTGGGACATTATTCAGGACACAGGGTCCTCTGAAGAGATTGTGGGAATTGAATGAACCACACTGACTCCATCTTGTGACTCAATTCAGAATGTAACTCAGTTCCCTTTCTATACAATTATAGGTCTAGTCCATTTTCTGTCTTGTGAGAAAACTTTATTCAATTATGGGACTTGCAAGAAAACTTTATTGCATTGTTTGAACCTAACCTTGCATGACCGAGAAGCTGGGCCACCTCTACCTGTTGCCTAGAGACCCTTGACTAAGAGCCTAGGTCAGGGGTGGGGAACCTGTGGCCTTGAGGCCACGTGTGGCCCTCTAGATCCTCAAGTTCAGCCCTTCAACTGAATCCAAACTTCCAGGAACAAATCTTTTTATTAAGGGGATTTGTTCTGTGAAATTTGGATTCAGTCATTAATGTGGCCTCAAGGTCATAGGTTCTCCACTGGCCTAGTATACTAACCAGAAACCCAGTCAGATCCAAAGATTGATGCAAGGAGTTTTCTCACAATTATATATCTTAAGCAATGCATTTGTTTTATCTAAAAAGTGGCCCTGTACTGGTCAATCAGTTATTGTTTCCTTGTTCCTTTGATTGAATACAGACATTTGGTGGGGAGTAGGACACCTCTTTTTCCAATTTCAGGGAATTGTACCTGTTTGTTCTCCCCCTCCCAACTTAGAAAACCCCTCATCTTTCTTCCAATTAGAAATCAGATTACTTAATCTTGCATCCTGTTAATTGTTTTCTTTTAATGCACAAAAATCTGTTTCCCCTTGTATTTGGGGTCCAGTGCCAAGCTGAGAAGGCCTGGTCCTGATTTTTTGTTTGATTGACATGCATCGTTTAATGAATCTACATGCTCAGAAGTTTGAACCTTTGTTTCCTTAGTTATTTGAGATTTCACCTAGCTCTATTTCCTAGAATTTCCTCCTCCCCAATGGTGTGAACCAAGGAGAAAGAGGAGAGAGGCATAGGGAGAACATTTCAGGTCTGAGTCAGAAAAATTTTGGCCAAATCTCTTTTCAGTAGACTACAGGAGTCAGGGGTGAAGAAGAACTCCCTTCCTGGCCCATCCTGACCCCCTCCCTCCCTTTGCCTACACAGTCCATAAACCCTATGTCTGCTTGGCAGTGACAATGATCCTATCCATTCCCTAAAACCCTATTCCTAGGGCTGGTTACTGGAGTGGAATATGTCCAATTGACTTAATTCAGAGCTTACTGTCACTTTCAGAGATGGGAATAGACTTCATTTATTGTTGGGGTTTTTGGGGTTTTTTTTTCTTCTCTCTGAGCACGACTGGATCTGTGCCACCAATGTCACTTTGTTTTGTTTCCTCCCTGCCAGAGGCAGAGAGGTCATGTGTGTGTATATATATATATGTGTGTGTATATACACATATATATGCATGTACGTGCAGAGACTCAGCTAAACTGACAATAAGAGAAAGAGAAATCCTTTAGGACAGCTTGGGTTTGGACCCTGCAGCAGCTGACTGTAAGCTGGGGAGTCTTTGAATACTTTTTCATACATTAACATAGGCTTCTTGCAAAGGACCAACAGCCTGGAGGAGAAGAGTCGAATTGTGAGCGCCTTCAAGGAGAGGCAATCCTCAAAGAATCTGATAGCATGTGAGAACAGTGGGCGAGAGGCACGGTTCCGCAGAACTGAGACCGACTTCTCCAACCTGTTTGCCAGAGGTAATGCACTTGGTTCCTTCATCCTTCCCTTCCTTCTACTGAGGCCCTTTTGTTTTCTTGTTCATGGATTTGATACTACTAGTGGCTGGGGAGGTAGGGAAAGGACACCGGGATATTTAATTCATCTCCCCAAACCCTCATTCATCAAAGCTGTTGTCCTTATATCTCAGGGACAGGGGGAACACTCCTCCTCCCTTCCTGACTCCCCAAATCTTACTTATTTTGGATGCTGATTGAGAATGTCAACCCCACCCTCAATTTATTAAAGAAATCACATCTTTCAGAGATACCTTTGGAAGCCAAAATCTCAGAATTGGAAGGGACCTTATTTAATCCAGCCTCTTACTCAATTGAGGAATCCATTCTACAGCAGACCTACCAAGAATCTCTGCCCAAATACCTCTAATGATAAGGCAGTCCACCCCCTTTTTAAACACCAATAATTGTTGGAAAATTCTTCCTAACATAGGGAGGCAGAAAGCTTGTGAGGTCTTACGCTGGCCAGAGAATAGAGCACAAAGACCTGGGTGGTTTGGGTTAATTTTGCTGCTAACAGACAAAGGCAGGAATGTGGGCCAGGAGGCTAGAGTTCAATGATGGTAGGCAGAGGACCTAGTTCAAATCATACCTCTAGCCCAGAGGACTGATGGAGAATCATGCCATCAACCTCTTGACAGAGAAGTGATGGAGTCAAGACAAATGTTTTGGACATGACTATTTCAGGAATTTGTTTAGCTTGACTATTCACATTTATTTTTCTTTTTTACTGGGGATGGGGGGTGAGGAGAAAAGTAATTTTTATTAATGATAAATAAATATTAAAAGACAAAACAAAATAAATCCTGCCTCTGATGCTTACTACCTGTGTGATCTTATGCAATTCACTTACCCTTTCGGGGCTTCAGTTTCATCCTCTATAAAATAAGAGAGTAGACCAGAAGGCTTAGGAGCTTCCTTCTATCTCTCAATTTTAGGACTTTACTTTCTTTCCTTAGCTTTGCTTTTTAGAAAACATTAATATTATTTTTTATCAAAAAATCTTATTTTCTCCCTCCCACTTCCTTTCCACTTCTTCCTTCTTCTCCTTCCCCTAAGAAAAAAGAAAAAGTCCCTTAAGAAACATATATAGTCAGGTAAAACAAATTCCTGCATTGGTCATGTCTTTCTCCCTCACCAAAAAAAAAGTCTCAGTCTGCACTGAGTTCATCCCTTCTCTACCAGGGCATATTTTGTCAGGGGTCCTCTGGAATAATGGTTGGTTATTGTGTTGATCAAAGTCCCTTAGCTTTACTTTTGTAGTACAAGAGTAAATCTCTACATATTTTATATGGTGTTTCTTTGTCAGAGTCCCCAAATGGGTTTTGGGGATGCAACATCTCTGTCTCCATAGATAAATTGAGCTAAGATTCATTATAACTTTTACCTTTTGGTCCTAGTTCTGCCTTCTGGAGATTTTTTTGAGATAGTCATGTCTGACTCTCCATGACCCCATTTGGGATTTTCTTGGCAAAGATACCATAGTGGTTTGCCATTTCCTTCTACAGCTCATTTTACAGATGAGGAAACTGAGGCAAACAGGGCTAAATGACTTGCCGAAAGTCACATAGCTAGGAAGTGTCTGAGGCCTAATTTGAACTCAGGAAGATGAGTCTTCCTGACTCCAGGCCCAGTGCTCTATCCACTGCCCTACCTAACTGCTCATGGAGCTACATGGAATAACTCTATTCCCTCTTCTACATTACAGCCTTTCAAAGATTTTAAGATAATTATCAAGTGAAACACCCACCCACATCTACTCTTCTCCTTTTCTTTTTCAGGCTAAACATCTCCAGATGCTTAGGGTGTGTGTGTGTGTGTGTGTGTGTGTGTGTGTGTGTGTGTGT